TGGATTAAACATTAGCTAAAATTAGCTATTCAGCTCAAATCAACAACGTGGGGATGTGAAGTATGTTGAAGGATTAATTAACTTACGTCAGTATGGAAAGGAGACAAACCAACTTTTGTTTTAGGACATTGGAACTTGGTTTTCATGGCAACTCAACTCATTTCGGCATGGACACTCCTCTATTGCAGAGAAATCCCATTTCTAAGAAAGTTTTGTAGACCATACTCGGCTTGCTTTATTTTTTTGACTTACAGTGGAACTCCCTACATTGGTCCCAGTACTTAGCCACCGTCGAAATACACCGTTTCGACTCAATGGATCGGTTCAAAGATAGGTTCAGTACCGTCACAACTACAACACTGTTTTCAAATATACTCAAGGAACGGCATTGTGAGTGGCATCGCACTGACACACTTAGGCAACTGGAGACTATCACTAAACGTCTCGAGCCACAGTTTAAATATAGTAGCGGAAGGTAGTATTAGTTTTAACGACACGACTCACCATAATAGATCCTTGACATAAATTGTTTGGGTAAAAACTGTACAAAATAACTGGTCAAAATTTTTTTTTTTTTTTTTAAATCCAATTCAGTCGTCGATTCGTTTAGTGAGGTCATCACGTGGTTTTTACGCGCCGTTAAGCTCCAAAGTTATCAGTCTTTTTATCGGTACTGGAGACATTTAAAAAATATGTCATGTATTATTGCTACATAAACATTATATCACAGTCTTAGTGTCACCAACTCGTTTCTAATATACAAAAAGACAAAAAAAATGCGTCTATGGTGCATTTTCGATCTTTCCAATCGAGACGAGAGATCTCTCTCCCTCGTCTGTGTGCGAGGGGGCGGGGCAGTTTACACACACGCGGCTGCTACATGCAGCAACACACGGCGGGGATGGCGGAGAGAAGCGCTCCAAGATGTGGTTAAATGTTACCCTGTCTTGAGGTGGACAATGCTCCTTGCCAATAAGAGTTTAGCATGTAAGGGCGGTAACAAGAGCAATTTGTCTAAACATTTAGCAAAAGTGCTCCACATCCAGACGGAGGAATGCACCGGGTTCGACTGTCTTTCTAGTAGCTCTGTAGCCCCATCCACGAGTAACGTTTCCACGTCAGCAACACACGCAGTTAACACAATTATACAAACATGGGTTAATGATGAGAGGTAACTGAGTTATTTATTTTGTTAAAGTTTCAGCTATTCTGTTTACAGTTCTGTCATCACATTATTTAATACGGTTTGTGAAATATTATTTATTTAAGTGAAATAAAAAGCAATGTTAATTTTGTTCACGATTTGTTGAGTTCATTTAATATTATATATTTTTGAATCAAGTATTCATCTTTATTATCTTCATTGTTAGTTTCCACATGCCTAAAACAACCTCAAGCTAAATCTAAAAGTTGATGGCTAAATAAGAGCGTTTGAGAAAGGCAAGGCATAATAGTCCGAATAGTCGATTAATCGTTTCATTAATCGATAGATTAATCGATTATTAAATTAGTCTGGCGGCTGAGTTAAGTACATTTTAAATTGAGTTTTAATAGTATCTTTGCTATTTGAGTGAATATAATGTGTGTCTTTATGGCTAATTTTGTAAATGTAATCAGTGGTCTGCAACTTTTCATTATCAGCTACAGAGTGGTACTAACTTTTCCTAGAGGGCTTGGAACATTACAATGGAAGTATATGATCACTGTTGCCATGCTCTATTGTTGTTGCAGGAATTATTTGGGTTTATATCCTTTGTTACGCAGCTGTGGTGCCAAATTTATAAAAGTTTGACCTCTCCGTATCGAGTATTACCAATCCATGTCCTCATTTGGTATAACATATTTTCACATTAGGGGATTTTTCTGCGACTAAATGGCTCCTTGTTGTCAATATTCCTATTCAAAGCCATTCATCCACTGAATGTGATAGGTCTATTTATGCTTATGAAGTTTCATGAAACTGTGACAAACGCAGAGCTCAAAACTGCTCTAGGCTACTAAGAGAACCAACATCAACACACATGAAAACAATCAATGTAATCAGATCTACAAGAGACTCAGCTTTCTATCTACCACCATTTCAAGACTGTTTAGGGACCCCAGCATTCAGAAATGTTCAAATACACAATTCTTGAACTGCATGGGATTGGCATAAAGCACCAGATATCGAAAGTTTAACGGACCCCTGTGAAGATAGCCTCGCCAAATATCCCCCCCTTAAAATGTTGCCCAATTTTGGACTAGCACCAGTGCCAATGGATTGTCTTTTTTAGTCTCATTTAAACATATCATCCAATTACTGCCTCTTCAAGCCAGAAGGCCTGCACAATTTGTAAAAAAAACACATATTCTAATCATTTTTAGTGATACTGCAATTTGCAAAGTAGTCATAATTGTCGTTAAAAAACATTAAATGACTATTATCTGATGTTTTGAGGAATATCTGTACCAAAAGCTAAACCACAGTACTCAATTACTGTATATAGACTATTCTGCACAGCTTCTATCATATTCTGTTTCTATTATATTCGATTCTATTTTATTTACTTTATTTATTTTCAATGAATTGTGTAACCCTAAGAGACAGTGAAGTCGTGCAGAGAAGACAATCCCACGAGTTGCACGGGGTTAACTCCGTGCAGGCCGTGCTTGACATTACCAAGTTCTTTGCCTCCATCCGGAAACTGGACAAGATCCAAACTAATCAATCACAAAAGACATCACTCACCAGACTCTTGCATCAGAAGTGCTGAGTTGAAGAGTGCCAGTTTGTGGCGTGGGTTCAGCTCGAGTGCGTGATTGAAGTTCTTCAGAGCTTCCGATGGGTCTTTCATCTCGATGTTGACGATGGCCAGGTTGTACCACAGGTCAGCGTTGGTGCGATCCAGCTCCAAGGCTCGGAGGTAGGCGTCCCGCGCTTCGCTCAGCTTGTTCATCTTCAAAAGAAGCTCCCCTCTGGGATGAAAGAAAAGACAATAAATGAACAGCACACGACAATTCACAGGGAAATATTCAATGTATAGTTGTCCCCATTTTGCTGTATGTGGGTGTCCATTTGGTTATTGTTACAGATTGGATTGTAGGGACCATATGCCAAAAATCTGAAATAAAAAAGACTGCCTTTATGTAATGTGTGTGTTATTTAAATTAAACATAAAAACTGAACTATGAAATAACACGTAGACACAAGAACATGTTTCAAGCTCTACTACGATAGGTACATTTTAACCCTTTATAACCCTAACCCGTTTCAGGCCTCTGCTGATTGGCCGAATTCCCCAATGGTGCGCTCTGTGGCGTAGAGTGATCTTCGCTGATTGGCTGGGAGAAAACCACATGCTTGTCGACCTCGCGGAAGTTACCAAATATGGTTCCTCGATAGAGATGGGTACCGAGGGGCGGAATTATTAAAGACCGTGGTACTGGTAAGCTCCGACGTTATCGGTCTTTTTATCGGTACTGGACGCGCACACACACACACACACACACACACACACACACACACACACACACACACACACACACACACACACACACACACACACACACACACACACACACACACACACACACACACACACTCTTTCACACACACACACACACACACACACACACACACACACACACACACACACACACACACACACACACACACACACACACACACACACACAGGTTAATGATTAGAGGTAACTGAGTTATTTAGTTTGTTAAAGTTTCAGCTATTCTGTTTACAGTTCTGTCATCACATTATTTAATGTGATTTGTTAAAACAGTGTTGTTTCTTTCGATGTAAAATATTATGTATTTAATTTAAATAATAAGCAATGTTAGTTTTGTTCACAATTTGTTTAGTTAGTTTACCTTATTTTTTTCTCTCCGATAAGAGTACCGTTAAAAGACCGGATCGATAAAAGTAGTAGTACCATTAAAACCTTAACGATACCCATCCCTATTCCTCGCCCGATAAATCTAATCTTGGAGTCCTTTTTATCAAGATGAACATTATTACTTTAGCCAAACTAAGACATAACAGCCAACAGAACCAAATGACCCGATTTAGGTACAAATGCTACATAAGCTGTCAGCTGTCAACTCTCAGTTCAGGGATGGAGGCCAATTCAAACAAACCTGAAAGGAAACGTTTTGAGTATGAATGGTAATGCATGTTAATTTCAACATTTAAGGTATTGAATCCCTGTTCCCCGTGGAAAGAATAACGGATGTTGATTCATGCTCAAAGACTGACATCTGATAGGAGCAAAGTGAAAACTCTTGCCTGCTGATGTAGGCTTGTTTGAAGTCTGGCCTCATGCTGATGGCCTGTCGGTAGAGCTGGTCGGCCTCTTCCAACCTCGATTCGTTTGCCCGTATCAGGTTAGCAAGGTTTATGTAAACGTTGAGATGGTTAGGGGCCACACGAGTCGCATACTTCTTACCAGGAATAACCTGAGAATGGAGAGAAAATATGTGAATGATGGATCCAAGGAGCTGTATGGAAAAGCCTGAGTGGTGAATTAAGAGGTTTTTAACATGTGTAGGGATAGATAGATAGATGGATAGATAGATAGATTGATGGATGGATGGATAGATGGATGGATAGATAGATGGATAGGTACTTTATTGATCCCAATTTGGGAAATGTTTGCGTTGCAGCAGCAAAAAAACAAGGCAATGTATATAAGAGAAATTAAGAAACTAGAAATAAACAGTCACAAATATTTCAGAAAAATAAATAAAATAGCATTAAAAAGTAAAAATATATATACTGTACGTGTGGAAATACAAATTTCCAGTAACAAATATAATGCAGGATATTATTGTGCAAGGATACCTGTGGCATGAGGGATTTGGCAACCAAGTACGCATCTTCTGCCTCTCTGGACTTGTTCAGGTTCTTGTAGGTTCTTCCAACATTCATGTGAGCACCAATGTCATCTGCAGAAACATTGAATTGAGCATCAGAAAGCAGAGAACAGAGCAAAACAGTCACGCTAAAAGAGGTCATGTTGTGCCAATGTTACGGTTCGTATTTGTATTTTGTGCCTCAAGGCAAGGCAAGTTTATTTATATAGCAACTTTCAACACAAGGCAATTCAAAGTGCTTTACACAAATTGATTTATTTTTCTCATACTGCCTGTTTAGGACCTCATTTGACCCTCTAGCTCCATCCCAAGTCTCTTTAGTTGCACCATGTTTTCCTCACTTGCGTGTTTTCCAAGAAGAAGCTTGCGTCTATTTATGATATATGTTAAAACCAAATTTAGAAAGAGGTAATGTAGCAATATTTATTCTTCAGAGAGAGTGTTTTCCAGGTTACACCCACCTTAGCATGACTGTGGGAACCTGTCCATCTCTGATATGATTTCAGGTCAGGTGTCAACACTTTTTAAAATCACTTTTCCATAAATCTAAAATGGTTATAACTGATGTCCAACCATTTGACAGTGTTCTCTTGGATATGATTGATCCATTCAGTAATGTGTTTACTTTATAGTATTGTAAGAAACTGCTAAAACTTGCCAACGTTTTTTGAATTTATCTCATTTTCAATATTCAGTGGGATTTAAAACACAGCATTGTCTGTCTGTTAAGAAATGCTCAAAGTGGATTACCATCACATATAGGACAAAACCATCCTGTACAATGTCATATGATTGTTTCTTGATTGTTTTTTTCTATAGTCCATTGTTTACACTCAACAAAGGGTCATTGCCAGTAAGCTGCAGCAGCACTACAGACTGTGCAACCCTAACTGCCAGTAAAGATTTCTTTTATAAATACTTTTTCTTCTCCAGGTTCTTTTTCATTGCTCAAACTCCAACTTATGCCACGTTCACTTTTCTGAACGGCCTCCAAGTGCCCTTTTGCAATTATGGAGGAAATCAGATTCAGGCTCTGAACAAAAGACAGACTCTCCCTAAACCTCCACTCAAGGTTTTGAAATGGCTCTGGCTGAGCTGGTGTTCAGCAGGAACTGTATTTTACATTCTTTTTGACATGTTTTATTGACGGTTAAACTAGATGTTTATGCATTGTCAGACCTTCAATTGCATGTTTTGGCAAGAAGCTCTCATTTGTAACATTGCATACTTATATTTCCCGTAACCAAGACTTAAAGGAGTCGTATTCTGCTCATGTTCAGGGTCATATCAGTATGTAGTGTCTCTACTTTAAAGAGTCCTCTCCTGCTGATGTTCAGGTGTATATCAGTATGTAGTGTCTCTACTTTAAAGAGTCCTCTCCTGCTGATGTTCAGGTGTATATCAGTATGTAGTGTCTCTACTTTAAAGAGTCCTCTCCTGCTGATGTTCTAGTGTATATCAGTATGAAGTGTCCCTACTTTAAAGAGTCCTCTCCTGCTGATGTTCAGGTGTATATCAGTATGTAGTGTCTCTACTTTAAAGATTCCTCTCCTGCTGATGTTCAGGTGTATATCAGTATGTAGTGTCTCTACTTTAAAGAGTCCTCTCCTGCTGATGTTCAGGTGTATATCAGTATGTAGTGTCTCTACTTTAAAGAGTCCTCTCCTGCTGATGTTCAGGTGTATATCAGTATGTAGTGTCTCTACTTTAAAGAGTCCTCTCCTGCTGATGTTCAGGTGTATATCAGTATGTAGTGTCTCTACTTTAAAGAGTCCTCTCCTGCTGATGTTCAGGTGTATATCAGTATGTAGTGTCTCTACTTTAAAGAGTCCTCTCCTGCTGATGTTCAGGTGTATATCAGTATGTAGTGTCTCTACATGTCTCCATGCTTTAATGTTCAAAAAGCTCTTTATTGTTCTCATACTGCCTGTGCTGCAGCACCTCTTTTCACCCTCTGTCTGAAACCAGAGCCCAGTCTGCTCTGATTGGTTAGCTGGCCGGTCTGTTGTGATTGGTCAACCGCTTAGAGATGTCCCGCCCCTTAGCCTATCACGTACAATGTGTTGGAGTGCTATATAGTGATGTCACTGTGTTACGGAAGTAAACAAATGAGACCAATGGAGGCAAGTGTTTTGGAGAGAAACTTCCTCTGGAGGGAAAACAGGGATTTTAGTCTTTGCAGATAATTTACATGCACAAAAACCTTTGTAACACACTACAGGAAAGAGACGACCGCAACAAGCACAACAGGCTCTCTTTAAAATGTTTTAGCCTCATTCGTAGTAACAACCCCCTTATGCAACCAACTGCATTGTCAGAAGCTATTAGTGACACTGCCTTTCTTAGCCTGTTTCGAGAGTGTAATCACAATATTCAGTTTGCTGGGATCAAATTCTAAACTAAAAGAGGGGGGAATTAAATCAAAACACGTGGGTTTGCTATCCTGGCTCCAAAATGGTGGAATGAGCTCCCCATTGACATCAGGACAGCAGAAAGCTTACACATCTTCCAGCGCAAACTCATCTCTTTCGACTCCACTTCGAGCGATAGAATTACTAACAAAGCACTTATATACTAACAAAGGACTGGCTTATCTAAAGCCAGTTGAGTAGCACTTGAAATGTTTTGGCTCTATGAAACCTGATGTACTTTTATGATTCTGTTTTCTTCAAGGTTGTATCTTCTTGGTCGAATGCACTTGTTGTAAGTCGGTTTGGATAAATGTGTCAGCTAAATGCAATGTGATGTAATGTCTTAGCAATAACACGTCCCTGCAGGCAGTTACAATCTGTCATCTTTAACTTACGCAAACTTCCCCGTGTTCCAGTTGACTGAGCAATGTTATTTTTACCGCTATGCATTAAGTGTAACTGACAGATGTCTCTGCTTGAATGAAAACCACCATAACGAAAACATGGAAACCTCATTGATAAAACAGCCAAAGTTGAATCAACATTAGCGCAGGGCTATTGCCTCGCAGGTGTTTTTGGTTGAGCCTCTGTGATCGCCCGGTTTTCGTTTATTTAAAAAGTATTGGAAGTACAAGTTATAAACAGACAGTAAAAACAGAATGGTGTAACATTACAGGCCCAATGTGGGTTTACACTGAAAACAAAACACTACGAGAGATTTCACAATATCTCTCATAACCCGGGGGAAAACGTCCTCATAAATCAAATCGAACAAGATCGGCCGATGTGTCGTACCATCGTTTCCCTCATCAATGTCAACACAATATCATGATTTATGAATATCGGATGTGTTTGTCTTACCTGGCTGGACGCGTGTAGCCTGGAGAAAATACCGCAGAGCCGTGTCGTAATTGTTTTGGTTCTCCAGAGCGTGGCCAACGTTATTCCAAAGCTTGGCGTTGTTCTTGTTGACCTGAAAGTGAAGGTAATTCAAGAAACACGATAATAGCCTTGTTTTGGTTCATCTGTGAGAACACAGCTTTTAATCACCTAGTTATTAAAGGGCCTTTTAAACAGGCCAACATTAGCATTCATTGTCCTTTTCGTCTTACCTTCAGGGCCGAAGTGAACAGAGTGTACTCAGACTCCCAGTCCCAATTCCTCTTAAACGTTTTCACTGCATGTGTGGCCAAAAGCAACCCGATTACCAACCAGGAAATCTTCTTTAAGTACCTACCAAATAACATATAAAGACTTTCAGATGATATTGCTTTGATCAAAGACTTTCAATTGCAAACATTTTAAATTGGCCCTTATTATTTTGAGAGTGGTACAGGGCTGCACTGCGTTCTTTATATCAGTAGACATGAATGTAATAAGGTCGGCAGTATTGTTGCACAATATATCTGTAGTGGCCAACATCCCAAAAAGTTTGTCATGTAACCTTCAACTCAAAAGTTATTGTTCTTGGCCACATGTAGAGCTTGGGCCTGGGAAGCAGTGTCAGACTCGCAGTACACAATCCACTGGACCTTTTTTCCTTTTGCTTTTCAAGGTTTATTTCCAGTAAAACATAAACAAAATACGAAAACAATATTTAACATAAACTTAAACAGCAGATCCTAATAATCTGTATTTGACTAAGCATAAGGTTGCGTATGCGTGTCAATGACGGTATTGCTGCTGCCTGCTGCTCTCCCGTCACACACCGCACCTCCAACTTAAAGCCCCGCCCCCTTCACCTAAGCAAAGCACACCTCTTACTGAAACAGAAAAATGTATTAATAAAGGTTCCAAATAAATCAAAACAAAATAAACTTAAATGCGGCTCCTACAATATCCTTTCATTATCGATGCAGAAATGTGTGCATGTGTAATAGCAATGCTACGACAGTTTCCCTGCGTGACGTAAAATGAAAATAATTATTGTCTTATCTTCAAAAAAGTCTCTATGATAGAACATTGTTCACTCTTGATTTGAATCAAATCCTCAAACTCCAAAAGCAGATATTAAGAGTTATTGAACACAACCTGAAAATAAGCAAAGAACCCAAGATAAAAACTGAGGAGTAAGATACGGTTTTGGTTTGGCTGTTAAACCCTTACAAAGAAACGAAACATCAGCTGTATCGAATTAGTTTAGTTACAGAAACCAATTACAGGCAATTTATCGTCATCTGGTTAAAATTCCTGTATTTTTTATATAAACTTAACACAAAAAGTAAGGCAATTTGTGTTCTTTAGTCTTTTGTTTTTATTGTCTTTTGTTTTTATTTTGCACTTCTCGCGTGCTGAAAGGTGCTATATAAATAAAATTGCCTTGTGTTTGGTAGATGATTTATATGTTGTAACGATGCTTTTGGGCAATACATCTTATACCTGTTTTTATAGCCTGTTTTCTTACCTTTCCAATGCTATCACATTTGTGATGAACACGCATTTTTGGGATGAGCAGCAGAGCTGAGTATGTGGGGTGCGCCCATGAAAAATGTGGCAATGAGAAAGCTAAGTAACCAGGCTTTCCAACGGTATGAGATTTATTGCCAAAAACCATGGTTACAACATAGAATTCATCTACCAAACACACATTGCCTTACTTTTTGTGTTACGTTTATTTAAATATAAATGATTAGGGTTAGAATATTGCGATATTAAAACGATTTTTTTTCTGGCAATAAACTTGATTCTGTTTCTGATTATGACATTCGGTTACACGATTGCAGAAAAGCACTCACCCTTTATGTGAGATGATCTTGAATCCATGAGCAACGAGCACACAGAAGCCCATGCTGGGCACATAGAGGACCCTCTCGGCCACCACGAAGCCCACAGGGAAGAAGAGGTTGGACGCAGGAATGAAAGGCAGGACGATGAAGGACAGGGCCTGAAGAACAAAGACAAATAATTACTTCACCGTATGAGCCATGTTAATTCAATGCATGTGTTTTCTACATGGTAAAGTTCAGAGGTCTTGCTCAGAGGAATGATATGCAGAACACATTTTCAGTATTCAATTGTAAAATGACGATAGGTCATCACAGACTAGGGAAAAAGTGCTAAATTATGGTTTCTCTTCTGCCAGTGTGCTCTCCTTTGAAATGTCCATTATGATAAATGAATGAGTAAATTGGGGTGAAAACACAGCGTGCTGCAGCCATCGAGCCAGCAAACTATTAGGATCGAGAGGCGTGAATTGGACCGAGCCCAACCCAAAGGCATGCCCAGAAATGTTGTCAAACACAACTACATATCGGAGAGGTTTTTGAAAGTGACAGCTTAGGGCCTAATAGGATACTGAGATAGATATCCAGCTAATAATTATTTCCTTCTGATCATGTAAGCTTTAGCAAACTAATTCATAATGGCTCCTAGTAATTTAGGGATTAGTGTTACAATACGTGTTAACAGTTTGTTGAAATAAGATATTTAAGTTCTTGAGTATGTGAGACTAAAAGCCAAAATACTTCAAGTGTAGAGTAATAGAGAGGTATTCAATGTTAAAAGTGGAGCTTTCAATTCTAATATAATGCTGGATAGTTTATTAAAGAGGCCCTTTTATGCTTTTTGGGTTTAACTTTCCTGTAGTATGTTAAATACATACTACAGGAAATGCAGTTGGATGCATAAGGGGGTTGCTACTTCTCAAAAGTAATGAGACTTAAATTTCTGAAAGAGCCCTTTTTGGGGTCGTCCCTTTCCAGTAGTGTGTTATAAAGGTTTTAGTGCATGTAAATGGACTGCAAAGGCTAAAATTGCTCTGTTCCCTCCAGAGGGAGTTTCTCTCCAAAACACTCGCCTCCATTGGTCTTGTTTGTTTATTTCCGTAAGACAGTGACATCACTATGTAACACTCGCACTTCTATTGGCTAGCACTCCAACACATTGTACGTGATAGGCTAAGGGGCGGGACATCTCTAATCGGTTGAGCAATCACAACAGAGCCGGCCAGCTAACCAATCAGAGCAGACTGGGCTCTGGTTTCAGACAGAGGGTGGAAAGAGGTGCTGCAGCACAGGCAGTATGAGAACAATAAAGAGCTTTTTGAACATTAAAGTCTGGAGACAAGTCTCAGTAGTGGCACAGAATACAGTTGAGGCCTACAATGAGTTAGAATAGTTAAATCATTATATTTTTTACCTTGTAATAAATCAAACTGCTTTGGGGCACCTTGAGTAGGCGTTCCTCGTGCTTTTTACCATGAACAACCATGCCTTTCACTGTTGTTTCTGATTAACCGAAACTATCTAACGGCAGTTTTTCCCAGGAAGCTACAGTGTTATGCGTGAAGTTTTCTTGAAAGACCAGTTCGCCACAAGCCGCAAGCAGAAATACCACTGGCTAAATATCAGCAAGATTCAAACAGTCATGTCTGGACTAGCTGTAAAAGGTGAACATGATCTGTTGACGAATCAATAACAAAAGTATTCAGTTTCTGTCCTTTATGACATTTCCCCAAAACATAGCTACAATAAGCTGCTACCTGCAAAACAAACGATGAGCTACGTGCAGGCAGTGATCTATCCGTCTCAGATCTGTTTATCCTAATACATAAATGTCTATATACTGTACCGCTGCTCATCCTCCTGCACAGGCTGGAGCCTATAGTGTGAGTCAGTTATTTGATATAGCATCAGTGAAATAAATATAAATACACATCTATATATTATGCAGTGATCTGATCTGGGATGTGGGAGTTACGTGGTGAATATATGAGATGTTGGCAGGGGAGGTGGTTGGCACTGAAAATGACCCGCTTCCTGATAAATGATAGAATACATAGTTATGTTATTACGTATATTTGAAATATGAATATGGAACGGAGAGGGGGTTTAGTTGTCTCCCAATCCAACAAGAGAGCAAGATGCTTGTTTTACTGCATGTGATGCATGTGTAGGCTTAAAACTGAATACTTTAGTATATAAAGTGTTCTTTAAATGAAGCAGCCAATAG